ATTCCAGAAAGACTTCTAAGAAATGAGCTTCTTAGAGCCCGTGTCATGGGGCAGCAAGTCCTGGGGCTCTCGGAGCCAGCCCCCTCCCTTCAGCAGCTAAAGCAACAGCACCCCCATTTTACAGAGCAGAGCATGGAAGCCAGAGCAGTGGCGGGGTGTGGGGGAGTGGTCCTTCCCTGGCTCAGGCAGACGGGAAGATGAGGAAGCCGCTGAAGACGCTGTCAGCCTCGGAGCCCTGGTAAATGCGGCCCTTACTGGGATCTTTTTCGACCCAGACCTGGTCACCCTGCTGCAGATGAAGCACCGTGCCCCCCGACACCACCTGGAAGATCCCCTTGCTGTTGGCGTCACAGAAGCCCAGGGAGCGTCGGACCTGGCCCCTGGAGGAGGATACGATGAACAGGCAGATGTCCCACTTGGACACCACCTGGAAGGTGAAGTAATAGTAGCCGGGCACAGCACAGACGAAGCGGCCCGAGTTGTTCTGGTACGGGCCCTCCTGGTTGGTGAGGACCTTGTCGAAGATGACCACGTTGCCTCCCATCGGTGGGTTCCGCCTAATGGCCGAGAAGGCCGGCCGTGGCTGGTCTCTGATGTTTCCTGGATTGCCCTTGATGCCTTTAATTCCCTGCATGCCACTGGTCCCGAGGGGGCCGCTGGGCCCTGGGTAGCCCACCTTGCCAGGGTTTCCAGGGGGCCCGGGTTCTCCCTGGTCTCCTTTAAGGCCTCGGATGCCTGTCCGGATGCCAGGGGCCCCTGTGGGGAGAGATGTCAGACTGGGAGTGAGAGTCCAAAGCCTACCAGTCCTTAGGGAGAGAACTGGACCCCCTGAGTCTATGGGATAAAGGGCCAGGAAGTACCTGGGCCTTCAGGACATTGGCTCTGACTGGCTGTGTGACTTAGGGCAAGTGTCTCAACCTCCCTGAGCCTCCCCTTCATCTGTAAAGTGGAGAGGGGTGTGAACAGGCACTTGGGAAAGTGTCAGGTTCTGGGAAATTCGTGGTGCTCTGGCTGCTCTGCCATGCTCCTGCTCAAGGCTGGGCCCTCCACCTGCCTCCAAGGCACTGACCTTGACTTTTGCATGTTCAGGTATCCCACGTAGGATGCCTGGATGCAAATTATTGCAAATGTCTATGTGATCCATCCAGTCTGCTTTGGACTAGGAGGCTCCAGGGGATTTCATGAGACTCCCTTTCTGCTCTGATCAGGACCTCCTCCTTTTTCCATCACCCCCTGCCTTTCTTCTAGAATGTGAGAGTTTCTGAAGCCTAAAGGGCTGGGGAGGGGGAAGCGCGAACAGCGCCAAGGGTGCCAGAAGGCAGTTGCAGTTATTTGGTCCCTCTGTTTGTGCCGTGCGGGGTTAGTTCTCCAGCTTACAGATGAGGCCGCTTAAGCTCAGAGAGGGCTGATAACTTGCTTGAGGTCACACAGCAAGGCAGGGGCCGCTGAGTCTAAACTCTGGGTCCTCATTATGCTGGTGAGAGAACTGTGAACCAGGACTCATCATTGCTGCTGGAACTTTCACATTCACTACTCAAAGCAAGTCATTCTCCAGTGGGGGGAAGGTGGACCCAGGCCATCAACGGGGAGTGGAGAGGCTGGGGACATGGCCTGGGGAGGCGGCTGGGCCTCCCTTAGTGCCTGGGGCCAAGTGCAAACTGGAGAGGATTCATAGGGCATTGGGGGCAGACGGACTCCTGATTCTCAGTGCCATCCCCAAGCCTTCGTCCTGGAGGCCAGGCCAGGCTGAGGTCGAAGGGGCTGGGTCCCGAGGGTGTTGCTTACCCGGCTCCCCTCGCTCCCCCTTGAGGCCTGGCCGCCCCGGTCTGCCGGGTCTTCCTGCCACCCCGTCCTTCCCGTTTGGTGCTCGGCACACATCCTGGGTCACCGTAGAGGCCAGCGACAAGGCCAGCACACAGACTACCAGCCAGCCCCAGGGCCCCTCCATGATGCCCCTGTGGAGACACGGTGGGGGGGGCCTGGGCAGGCTGGACATCACATACTCACACCCAGCTCACACCCTTGGGTCCCATGCACACCATGATGTATGCACCCCCCCCCCCAGTGCACACGCACCCTCCAGGGCTCTCAGCGTCCGCTCTCAATCCAGCTCCAGGGACCCCACGCATATACACAGAACCACAAACTCACACACACACACAACCGAGCACACCCACCTCATCACACACTCACAAACAGACACAGCCTCTCACCCACACACCTACAAAACACGGTATGGAAACTCAAAAATCCACTACACACCCCTAGACACACAACTGATACCCAAATAGACTCTCCCTCACTTGCACCGACACACACATTCATACAACCCCACGGGTGATCAATTTCATTGAACAAATATGTATTGAGCGCCTGTTCCTTATTTAATGAACACTCGCTCACCCAGATGGTGGAGCTGTGCATACACACAGGAATTCACAAACACCCAGCACGACACCTGCTCACTCTTCCGCACGCTCAGCGCCTTTCAGCATTTACCCCAGAATGACTGGTTGGCTGCCCCCACTGTCCCCTCTGCTGGGTCCCACTGCCAGCTCTAGCACCCCAGCCTTTTCCCAGTTTCTTAGGTGTTTTGGGGCCAGACCCAGGAACCCTGGTCTTACCCATTAGTTGTTGAGTCTAACTTACCGCCTCACACCCTCCCCCAAGCTCTGGCTCTAGGAGTTAAGGTCCCTCCACTCTCCCATTCTGGGTGGATCAGTGCCGCACCCCCATCCCTGTCCTGCCGCAGAATCAGCCACTCTTATTTCCCTCCCTCCCTGCCTCAGTTTTCCAGCCTCCTGGGCCAGCTCCCCGGGGTCCCGGAACTCCATAGCCCCCTCCCTCTGGGACTCTGGCCTCACCTGCCTCCCGTCGTCAACTTCAACTGGATGTTCCTGCCCTCTGCGCAGGGCCCCTGTGGGCTACCCAGCAGGAGTGGCGCCAGGCTGTGGCCAAGTTTCACATCCCTTCCCACTTCCCCTTCTCCAGACCTGCCCCCTGAACTTCCCCAGGGCCCAGAAGTTCAACAGGGACATTTCGAGCAGCCTTCAGCAAGACAGGAACATTGGGTGTCCTGCCACAGCAACAGCTGGTGTGGGGGTGGGGACAGTGAGGCCAGCGTCTGTGAGGATGTGGGGCGGAGGCCGTGCAGGGCAAGGCTCTGAGAACCAGGGAAGCACAGAACACCAGAACGGAAGGAATCTTTAAAAAAATCTGTCCCTTGTAGGACTTTTCATGATTATGAAACTGACATGCAACTCATTGCCAAAAGCTTGGAAAATACAAAGAAGAAAGAGCAGTGCATTGGTGAGAAGGAAGCACAGCGATCTGTTTCTAGACTTGCTGCTTCCCAGTTGCATGTCTTCGGAAATTACTTGACCTCCTGATCCCTCAGTTGTACCTGTACATTGGGAATGAGGTTCTACCTCATCTGATTATGATAGGTGAACACTTAATCATTAGCTTTTACCAACATTTAGAAAAAGAACAAGTCTCGGTGCTGGGGCTCATACCTGTAATCCCAGGACTTTGGGAAGCTAAGGCAGGTGGATCACTTGAGGTCAGGAGTTCGAGACCAGCCTGGCCAATATGGTAAAACTCCATCTATACTAAAATTTTTAAAATAGCCAGGTGTGGTAGCATACACCTGTGTAGTCCCAGCTATTTGGGAAGCTGAGCTGGGAGGATTGCGTGAGCCCAGGAGGTTGAGGCTGCAGTGAGCTGTGATCTTACCATGCACTCCTGCCTGGAAGGCAGAACAAGACTCCATCTCAAAAAAGCAAAACACACGGCAGCAGCGGGCCGTCAGGAATGGGTGCTGCCATCACACCTGCTGCAGCAGGGAGGCACGGCCAGGGCTGCATGCTCCATGTAGTCAGTGGGAGCTGGGGACAGTGGGAACCCCGCCCTCCTGGGCACCTGCTGCAGCTGCACAATCCATAGCTGAAGACCCAAGCTTCCTGCTCCACAGAGCAGGTGGGGGCCCCGCTGCCCCCCACGCAGCTGTAGCCACCTAAACTGCAGCTGTGGGCCCAGGCATCCCTGCACTCTTGGGGGCCTGGGAAGGTCCCCTCCCCCTGCCCTTGCAGGCTCAGAAGTACCTGCCTGGCTTCTCCCTGCTCGTGGCACCCACTCCAATCTTGAAGCAAAGTTGGGGCTGAGCCTGGGCACTGCTGCAGCCCGGGTTGTGTGCATGCTTGGGGCAGTGCCAACATGCTGGCCCCCTGCTGCCTCAGTCCCCTCTGGACTTTGGGCATTGACTGTCATGGGAGGGAAGCCAAGGGGGCACTGAGGGCAGCTTGGCACTGGCCTGCAGGCACCCCTTGGCATGAGCATCCTGGGCACCATGAATAGCAGCAGGAGTCAGACAGGCTCCTGGGTGAAAGGGGGTGGGTCCCTGATAAGGCCCCATCTTCAGGCCAGGGAGGGCCTGAAGTCTGGGGCCCAGGCTGCCTGGCCCAGGGACTGGTGTGGGAATTTATGGTGTCTTTTCTGGGCCTGCCTGTGGCCACCCATGGACCAGTCAGCATGCACCTCCTCCCCTCTGAGGCCCATGAAAGCTCCAGGCTCAGCCAGAGCTGGGCAGACCTAGGGATGACCAGCTGCCGAGAGGAGCTACCCACTCCAGGGTCTCCTCTCTGCTAGGAGCCGAACCCTCGTCAGGACATCCGGCTGCAGACAGGAGCTGACCCCTGTGAGAGGCTGAGCTGTTCTATTGCTCAATAAAGCTCCTCTTCCTCGTGTTCACCCTCCACTTGTCCACGTACCTCATTCTTTCTGGCCACAGGATAAGAACATGGGAGCTGTCGAATGGTGGTGCTGAAAGGGCTATAACACAAAGAGGACTGAAACAGGCCCCTTGCTTGCCATGCTGTGGGTGAAGAGAAAGTGAGGAGAGCTGCAGCCCTTTGGGGAACCCAGACCTGGGAACTCCTCAAGCCAGGGCTATGCCTCCCATTTTGGGGCCCTGTGGTTCTTGGTGTCTGCAAGCTTCCAGGTGCTGCCATGTTCCCCAGTGCCGCCCGTGGAAGCTGCTTGTGGTGTACCTGGTCCAGCCGCAGCCTCGCAGAGAACTGGCACCTGTGCTGGCACCTGGAGCTGCTCACCCGCGCCAGCAGCTGGCATGTCTGACTGTGTGCAGTGGCTAGACCCCACGCTCACCCATGTACCTCTCACGGTTCCATGCCTGACTTGTCATGGGCAAATGTGGGACCCAGGCTGGAAATGTGAGCTGAGTGCAGCCTGCAAGGCAGAGTGGGTGAAAGAAGCCCAGTGGGCCGAGCCAAACTTGGGCAAAGGTGCCACCAGCCACAGAGGTTTCCCATCAGAAAAATGACACCCCGAAGATCCTGTAATACCATCGCAAAACAACAAAACAACAACAAACCCAGCAACAAAAGCCTGTGAGTTCCACCATCTAGAGATAATTGCTGCTAACGTTTGAATGGGCCATCTAGCCTTACTCAACTTAACTGACGGGTGCCCATTACCTGTCAGCACACACACCGCATCATTGTCAGCTTGGACCCTGAGAATGCTTTTCTTTAGATGGTGGGCTCTGTCTCTCCAAGACCGGAGGCCAATGTGTTCAAGCCTGGGCTGACCACATCTGTCCGCTTCTTCTCATCAGCATGTTTTTGTTTGTTAGTTAGTTTTCTGAGAATGTTGCCAGAGGCAGGAGGAGGAAAAGAGGAGGAGGAGAGAAGCTATGAGGGAAGGCTATTGTAACTGGGCAGAGGGAGGGGGGTCCAGAGCCAGGGTTTTCATGCTGTAGGGGCTTCTTTTTCATTTGAAATCTTGTGTGGCATCTGAAGTATGTCAAACAGATAAAAATGGGGATGCTGGGTTGAAGGGCGGGGCCCAGAGTGCCTCCTGACAGCCCCTGCCATGCTCCCTGGATTCAGAAAGTTCGTAGAGCTGGAATCTCACCTGTTCAACCCATACCTAACTCACAGCGTGACCTTGGGCAGGTTCTCTCATCTTTCTGAACCACACTTTCTCCATCTACCAAGATGAGAGAGTGGGTGGGAGGCGGGAAGGCTGCCCCAAAATGGTCTTTAACATCCCTTTCAGCATCCCTCTTCTTCTTCTTCTTTTTGAGATAAAGTCTCACTGTGTTGCCCAAGCTGGAGTGCAGTGATGCGATCTCAGCTCACTGCAACCTCCACCTCCCAGGTTCAAGCGATTCTCTGCCTCAGCCTCTTGAGTAGCTGGGATTACAGGTGCGTGCCACCATGACTGGCTAATTTTTGTATTTTTAGTAGAGATGGGGTTTCACCATGTTGGCCAGGCTGGTCTCGAACTCCTGACCTCAGGTGATTAGCCCACCTCGGCCTCCCAAAGTGTTGGGATTACAGGCGTGAGCCACTGCCCCCAGCCAAAGTCTAGTTTTCCAAATATCGAATACCCAGTTTTTATAGAAATACAGTGTGAGAATACGTCAGTGTCTTCCTGTACGTTGTTAATGCAGGAACCAGCTAGGTGACAAAGCTAGTTCAATGGATATGAAAAAATATGTATACCTATATGCGGAGAGAGAGTTAGTTAAAACAACAAGAATTCTGGAACATTCATAAGATTGCTAAATTAGATACAAAACTGGTTAATGTTCTATGGGGCAATATGATCATGATGTGGGGCATATCTTCTCTGTTGAAAGAAATCATTTGCATCTCTACCAGACGAAAATAATTTGCAACTTATCAGTTTTCTACCAGTTAACAGCTATCTTTACCGAATCTGGGCTCTAATCAATAGTAAATAATAAGTCAAGCCAAGTGACATTCCCCTAGAGTGTCAGATGACCCTTAGGAGGGCTTGTTAGATACAGCTCTCATTTGACTTTGAAAGGACACTTGTTATCTATCTGCCTTATTTCCAAGCCTTGGATGATTTTACTTATCAGGCTGTTGCAAGAGTATAAACACTTCCCAATAAATAAAAGACATCGATAGTAATGCACATATCATTAGTGTGAGAAGTAGAAGGGTCAGCAACGGCCCTGTGAATGTCACAACAGGGACACATTTAGGCAGACAGGAAGGGCGTATTCTTCCATTTCTCCAGAGCCCAGACTCCTAGAAGGGAGGTAGGAGGTGTGGGGAAGAGAGGAAATTCCTAGCCATTCTTGCACTGTCACAGTGAGGTTCAGTCTCAGAACGGGGTCACGGGTCAAATAAATAACCAAAAAATAATTTTTAAATGACTCGAATTCTTTACGGCAGAGTCACATCTCATTTAAGGGTTGGGTTGCAAAATTGGCACATAAGGCAAACGTTGTAAATAGCGGTTATGACCATTGGAAAAATATCTTCAGACAGCACCACATGAAAGACTGTATTACCGTTTCACAATAGTCATTTTTTTTTTTTTTTTTTTTTTTGAGACAGAGTTTCACTCTTGTTGCCCAAGCTGGAGTGCAATGGCGCGATCTTGGCTCACTGCAACCTCTGCCTCCCTGGTTCAGGCAATTCTCCTGCCTCAGCCGCCTGAGCTCCCAAGTAGCTGGGACTACAGGTGTGCACCACCACACCCAGCTAGGTTTGTTTTCTTTTGTTTTGTTTTTAGTAGAAACAGGGTTTCACTATGTTAGCCAGGCTGGTCTCGAACTCCTGATCTCAAATGATCCACCCGCCTCGGCCTCCGAAAGTACAGGGATTATAAGTGTGAGCCACCACGCCTGGTCCACAATAGTCTTATGCTGTCCAAAGATATCTTTCCAACAGTAATACTCACCATTTACAACGTTTGCCTTGTGTGCCAATTTTGCAACCCAAACTTTAAATGAGATGTGACTCTACCGTAAAGAATTCTAGTTCTTTTGGCTGTGACAGAACAGATTTCTTGTTCTTCAGCTGAGTATTGGTTAAGGTTAACCAACCCCCCCATCACTCACACACAAAGGAATTGAATCTTTGGAGACTGAGCCACCCTTGGAGGGGAGGTGTTTAGACCATGAGGGGTTCACAGGAGCTGAGGCAGACTTGGGGATAGCAGACCTCTCCCATCCACAGTTCCTTCAGTAATAGGCTCCTGGAAGACAGTGTTCCCGGGCCGGG